CTCAGAATTCCGACTTAGTATCTCAGAATTGCGACTTAGCAACTCAGAACTGCGACTTAGTAAGTCAGAATTGCGACTTAGTAAGTCAGAATTGCGACTTAGTAAGTCAGAATTCCGACTTAGTATCTCAGAATTTCGACTTAGTAACTCAGAATTGCGACTTAGCATCTCAGAATTGCGACTTATCAACTCAGAATTCCGACTTAGTAACTCAGAATTCCAACTTTATATCTCACATTTGCGACTTCGAAATAGCCATATTTCATTGTCTGTCCTTTTGTTATTGTAACAGATTCGGGTTCTAGGGCTTGTCCCCTCTCCACTCCCACCCTAGTTCGTGCCTCGCTGCACTGGCTCACTTTCTTTAAGAACATGTTCTTTAACCCCAGCGGCCAGCATCCCTGTTATGCGCAGGTGAGGGTGGTGTACTGCAACCAGATCGTACAAACTGTATGTCGGCCGTTCCGTTACACTATTTTCATGAATCGTACAGGATCATAGGATCTATAAGCCTGAAGACATGTCCTGTATAGTGCCCTGATAAAAATCAAATTAATTACACTAATTTTTATAGAATCCCATTTCCGCTAGTGAGGCTTCCATAGTACCCGGATGGAATAGTGCATGGTGGGCTTTTTAAAAATAGTTTTTATTTACGTAGACAGAATATGAAATAAGATACAGAAATAGGCACTTCACATCCAGAAGGATTCACAATTATAAAAGCTGAAACATACTTTTTACGTATTTCCATTGTATGTCCTTTTTTACTTAAAAAAGAAGGTCTTCTTTAGCTCAGCTGGCAAGACTCAGGTTCGAGCCAGTGCAGCAAGGCACGAACTAGGGTGGGAGTGGCGAGGGCACAAGCCCTAGAACCCGAATCCATTACAATTCTTAACGTTACAATTCTGAGTTGCTAAGTCGGAATTCTGACTTACTAAGTCGCAATTCTGAGATACTAAGTCGGAATTCTGAGTTGCTAAGTCGCAATTCTGAGATACTAAGTCGGAATTCTGAGTTGCTAAGTCGGAATTCTGAGATACCATAGCGCGTTTTTTTTACTCCCTGGCGGAAACGGGCTTCCATAATAACCTGTCAGTTTCACCATGGACAAATTTACACAAAAGATTTTGTTACTTTGTTGCATCAGGCTAACTGATCTACTGTTATTGGGTTATTTGAAGAGCAAAATATAATATATGGCATGAGTCTGATAGAGCATGTGCTCTCTTTGCCCTCTAAGATTATAATCATGGACAGCAAAATTATTGGTCAGAAGCACAACCAACAGAAACATCCATATACTTTGAGTCTTTACAGGAAAGAAATGTTTTTTATTATAGATTTTTGAAGAATTTTATAGTGTTCAATTATAGTGTGTAAAATGTGTATGTCAGTGAAATTCTGAATGCTTGAACTGAGGGCTTACACAGTCTTCTTTTATAGGGCTAATAAAATTGAATTATTTGGACCGATCTGAATAGGATCTAACTTTGAGATGAGAAACTTACCTGACTGCTCTTTACTTTTAGAGCAGTAAAATCTTGTACTACGGTGACCAAATTTGTGCTTCATATTCTAAAGTCTTATGAGTAGTACATTGTACAATTTTAATTTTAGACTTAATGATTTAAATTCTACATTTTTAACAGTATATTCTACCATTCAGCTTGCTTTTGTGTTGCTTAACCTATGTAAATTATATGTCAAGAATACCTAAATCTTCTTCTTGGGTAGATTCTACAAACTCAACTCAGTGTTGTCCATCTTATATTTGTAGCTTATATTTTGCTACCTGCATGTAACTCTCTGCACTTGTCTAAATGATAAGTTGTCTACCTGGTATGTGTTTAAATATACAGTATTTGTTGTTTTGAGGTTTGATTTTTATGTTTCTGTGAGGTTTCTATGTTCTGCTGTGAATTTGCTTGTCATTTAAATCCTTCACTGAAGCCAATGTTTTAAAGGTTTGCTTCATTTGATTTTTACATAATCAATTAGTGGTTGGTAGGAACATGCAAAACCTGCACACTTAAGTTAGTAATTAATTGACATTAAACAGTGAAATATTATTTGTGAGAAACAGGATAAATATTCCATTGAATCAGTGTTGTTACTATTGTATGTTTGGAATGTATGTTAACCATTGAAATGTAATTTTTACTAAGGTATTACCCAAGCCACCTAGCAAAAACATAAGAACATGTAAAAAGTTACTTACAAATTAGAGGAAGCTATTTTCTCCTTGTGTGTTACCCCGGTGTCCATACAAAATATTCACCTGGCCTTTACCAGTCATGGCCTCCTTATAATCCCTGATGTGTGGTGAGCATACTGGAACACTTTGACTGGGTGGTTGCTACCTGTTGGTCGTGGAAGGTAATCCCCATCACCTGTAAAGTGCTTTGAGTGGACTTATACAGTATATGTATAATGAATTATTATTTGGCCCATCTAGCCTGATTGGTAGTCATTAGCTAATTTGTCCAAGGATCTCAACCAGGTATTCTTGAAGAAATCCAGTATTTCAGTTTCAACAACATCTTGCTCCAAGCTTCCATTTTAAATGTGGGAGTATGTTTGAAATACTAAACAAGAGGTTAGTGTTTTAAACCCTCAACATCTAAGGGCACTGAAGCCTTCCTTGGTGCTCACTGTCCTACCCTTTTTGACTGAATGTTGTTGGGGTTTTTTTAAACAAACTGAGCAAAAGTATCTTGGATAGGCAAATGGTATGAAAACATATTGAATATTTCCAACTGTTCAGCAGTACAGTAGAAGCAGTATGATTAAACCTTGGCTTTGGCAGGCTGTTGAGAGACTTATTTTAATATCCTTATGCTTTTCATAGATAATGCATTATTTTCACACCTTTAATCATTCCTTAGCTACTTCGTTTTGGGTGTCTACATGCATGACTTGACAAATAAAGGGTTAAAGTTAATCTCCTGTAAGTGTAAATGGAATTTAATGATTTTGTGCACTTTTCAGAGGTAGCCTTCTATCTCTATTGATTTCGGTTTTGGCAGAAACTGCTTTAAAAGCTGCATTAGATTGCTAGTTTTGAGGCATGTTCATAAAGTTAAATTCACTGTAAAGATTGTATAACTGAATTTAAGTGAATAAGGCTTATCACTCAGCTTGATCCACAAGTGAATTTATATAAGGCCTTGAAAATACAGTGTCTCCTTAATTAATCAGTTAATTGTTAACCTTGTGGAT